AGTTGGAATCGGCCTCCAATATGTGGGTTCGGACTGCTTTTGCAAATCTGGGTTTAAACCCAGGTCAAGCAAACCTGTTGCATGCCCAGGTTTAAGCCCTGACACTCATCACGTGCAAGGTCTATGGGGAACATTACTTTATCCAAAAGAATATACGTAACATCTACTTTTAAATGAAACAAACATCATGGAGAATGATCAAGTGAACGCGTCGAAACAACCCTCCAAGAAGCATACACGCATTGTTCATAGTGACTAGCCATGAATCAATGTCCATTTGGGGATTGCGACCTATGGTTGGAAATCTCTTTGAATGAAGTTCCACTCTCTAGTTGAAGGTTTTGGCTAATTTTGGCTCGAAGTTCACGAAAATCTCACTTTCCTCTCCAAAAGCCAGTCTGGAAATTTTCTGGGTTCATGTTCTGTTTGAGTTGCGTCTGAGGGTGAGTTTTTGGAACGACCGTGAACTCTCTTCCTCTTGTCTCATCCCTTTCTTTTTTATCCCCCAAAATAACGTGCTTCATAGATCCTATCCATCAAATCCAACCAGATTTTTAGCCCGTGATTGCCCACTTACCAAGCCTGCAAACTGAGTCTCTTCACCAACTTTCTGACTCCAAAATCATCATAATTTGCAGCTGTTGAGTGGGCAGGTTTGACCGAGATTATCACGTGCCTTCAGCAGCTTATCCCCGGAAAATTTTTGTCCATTTGCACTCCTAATGATGGTCTCACACCTCGGCCAGAGTTCACGCTGATCGGCTGGCTGAGTAGGATATGGTGGGGCCACGAAGTTGGCTACTCAGCAGCCTCGAATTGAGACCAAATCGTGGACCGGTTTTTGGAAGCTGATTTAAGTGCTTTAATCCATTAATCTGGTCGGAATTTTGATCAGTTTGAAATTTGAAGTATATTAGTTTAAGATGATAATCAGAATTTGTAATTTTCCATGCCCAATTTTGCAGGAAAGTCCCTCAAAATTAGCCATTTTCTTGCCCGAGAATGCTCGATTTGAGCTAATTTAGTCCTTTTGGCTTGATTTGATCAATTTTACCTTGGCCGTTTTCAATTTCAAGCTTGATTAGGGGTAAAGATGATGATTTAAGGGCTTGGGGGCGAATTTTACAAATTTTGCGATTTGGTCCCCCAACTTTTGGAAATTGCATCAGTGGCCCCAACTTGCCGGTTCATTTGCAATTTGATCCTTCAGTCTCGGCTAGCTACACTCGAATCCTTGGCCCTTGCTCTTCCATTTTTTTTTAGTAGAATAATTCGAAAATATTTTTGTGGAAAACAAGTTCCAATTTTTCGAACATGATTTTTGGGCAAAAAATTTAGGTGTCAACAATGTGGTATTAAAAAATTGGATCCATAACCTTTCTTTCTTTTCTCTCTCTCATCTGAATAAGACTGACACACACAACATTTAGGGCGTGAATGACAACATTTCTCTTCTCCGACCCTATTTCTCTTTCCCAGACGAGTTTTTGAGCAAAAAGTAGTATTTGATAACGACACAAAATTTATGTTCAATGGCCCGGAGCATGGCGCAATCGATGGCAACGGTGGGGACTGCCCGGCGGGGAGCGAGTAGAGCAGAAAGCGAGCAATAAAAGTGAGTTGTTATTTCTGTTTCTATTTCAGAATTAGAAAAATAGAAATTTTAACTTCTCATTTCTATTCCAAATCTATTTTTGGGCCAAAATTTGTTCTAGAAATAAAAAAAAATGAAATTATTTTACCAAAAGGATTTCTGTTCCTAACTTGTTCCCGGGAAAAAAAAGTAGAAAAATAGGGAAACAAAATGATTATCATTCGCGCTTATTGCCTTCTCTCTCTTCCCTTTTGTAAAAGAACTCTTTTCCAGACGAGGAGGTCCTCCTCTCTCTCAAATTTCACTCCCTCTCTCTTCGTCCAAAGACACACTCTCCCTTCGGCTCTAGCACTTCGCCTCCGCTGTCGCCACCACGAGACCTATTGGCGGCTCCGATTCCGCCAAGAGCCCCATCATTGCTGGGTTTGAAGCTCATATCCGCCTCCGGCATTTCGGCTCAGATTCGCCTCGGGCACATTGTGACTCTTTTTCTTGTGGGTTTTGGCTTCCAAAGCTGGGTGTGACTCCTTCAAAACCATGGATACTTTTAGGGCCCGTTTGGTAAGGTGCCAAACAGTGAAAATTTCTGTTCTTTTGTTCCCAGAAATAGTTTGGGAACAGAAATGCGTTTAGTAAACTTTTTGTTCCCGGGCACATTTTTGCAAAAATTTGTGCCTTAAAGCTTTTGGAAGAAGAAGCAAGAAGTAAAAAAAAGTTGCTTCTTGTTTCTAAGCACAATTTTGAGAATGAGTTCTTTTTCTTCTTTTTCTTTTTTTTTCTTTTCTTCTTTCTGTTGTTCTTCCCTAGAGTGGCCGTAGGTCTCCGTGACGCGACCGGCCATAGCCTAGGGCCGACGAGGGCGTCATGGCCCTCGCCGGCCGCCGGCTGAGGAGGTCGGCGAGGGGTCCCCTCGCCGACGAGGGCTGGGGCCGGACCTCGCCGCCCGGGTGAGGCGGCTCGCCGTCGATCATGGCGAGGTCGGCCTCGCCCGATCCGGGCGAGGCCGAGCCCCGGCCACCGCAACCTACGGCGAGGCGAGTCGGCTTCGCCCGCGGTGGCTCGCCTCGGGCGGCGAGGTCGACCTCGCCGTCGCGACCCACGGCGAGGTCGGCCTCACCTAGATCGGGCGAGGCCGAGCCTCGCCGCCGCGACCCACCTGGCGGCCGACCTCGCCCGTCGTGACCGACAAAGAGGCTCGGCCTCGCCGGGATCCGGGCGAGGCCGGGCGGTGAGGCAGTGGCCGTGGCGACGGCGAGGGCCACGACGCCCGGCCTATGTCCGGTGCCGCCGGCCGGCGATCGGCCATGGCCAAAGAAGGGAAGGGTAGAAAGAAAAAAAAAAGAAAAAAAAATATTAAACAATTTAAAATATTATTAATAAAAAAAATTTTTGTGTAGTTACCAAACGTATTTCTGTTCTTTTCTATCCCAGTAATAGAAATTTTGGACAGTTACCAAATGCCTTTAAATGCTCAGAAATTATTTCCGGGCACAGAATCAAAAAGAATCATTTTTGAGTAGAAATAGTTCTCGGGCACAGAATGATTGTCATGCGCACCCTTACTGTCAGCTCCCACCAGAAAACCTCCCTCTCCTTCAAAACCACGGAATCTTGCATTTCATCGATTCCATGGATGAGGCCTTCAAGCTCTCGGTGTTGCATTTCGGGGTTTCTTGAGATTTTGCTGACTTGGGTATGTTCTTTTGTCTGTTGGGCCGTGAAGGAATATCTCTGTTTTTTTTTCAAGGGTATAAAAAGTCTTCTTCTGTATGTGGGCATTTGGCCTTCTTGGGAGGTAAAAAATTGTGTCTTTATTGGCAAAATCAAGAATGAGACTCAATTGATACCGATGTGAAAATGTTTAAAATTAAATTGATTCAATTGAAAATTTTATGATTAAATTAGTACCAATGCAATAGCCTTTTTAGGACTCTTCCCCCTCAATTTTGCTGCAATCCTCTGTCTTCCAAACTATTGCTCCCATAGATCACTAAACAAACAAGAAATTAGATACAAAGCTAATCTATGTGAAAACTATATCAAAGAAAGAAGGAGAAAGACAAATGTCTTTTATTTTTTTGTTTAAAAAACTAAAAGCTAAATCAAGCGATTAAAACTTCCATCTTGTATCTTTGCTTAAGTTAACCATCCATCAATTTTTAAAATCTTTTAAATTGTCAGATTAAAGGCAAAAAGTTGCAAACCAAACAAGTGAAGCTCATGAACTTTGTCCTTACGTTGGTTTTTTAGAATATTTTAACATCAAATTAAGTGAATTTCTAAAATTATCTTAGTTATTATTTTAGATTCTGAATAACATGTAAATACGGTATGTTGTGAATAGGTTGTGGCTTTTAATAGTTTTCAAATTTTAATGACATATCGTAAGGTTTAGATAAGCATTTAGTTTACTGTAATCTTGAAGTAGCAAGATTTACGTAATTTGTTTGATTTTCTTATACTTGTTATTCATTGAACTCGACAAATTGAATAAAATAAATTGTACTTTAAATTAGAAGTACTTTACTAAATACGTAAAATACATTATGAGTATGTTCCATTTTGTTGGTCTTTAAATTAAATGAATTTCTTTATTTAATGCAGCTTTTTTATATTTTGAAAATTAACATATTTGAAGATACTTTCTCTTTATCCATGTTTTTAAATTTAAGTTAATAAGAGGCAAAAGTTTGTATACGGCAAGTTTAAGATCAATATGAATATAATAGAAATCTTGAAGTGGCATGATTTATGTGCATTGTAATTTCCTTGTATTATCACCTAATTCAACTACTTGAATAATATAAATTACACTTCAAATTAGAATTTTTTGGTTCAAGGAAATATTTATTTTATAAATAAAATTTACTAGCACTCATGAGTTTTGTATTACGCGTATCTTTTTCTCTGATAAAATATATTTATATTTCGAGAATACTAGGTTTGAAGATACGATCTCTTTATCCAATTCTGAAGTTTAAACTTCTGATGAATAGAAGTCTGTACATTGCAATTCAAGATAAAACATAATGAACAAAATATATTATTTCATTAAGAATATATTTGAAGTATTTTTTCTTTAGTCATTATTTTAAACTTAAAACTCAATAGCAAATGAGAGTTTAATATGTCAAATAATTAAACTAATACTTACTGGTCGAATGTGAACCATGGCGAAAGCATGTCACGTGAAGTCACACCGCGAGTAGAGAAGTAAATATTTTCTCAATTTCGGCTTTTAAATGTACCTAGTATTTAGAATTTTTTTTTTTTTGGTCTTTTATATAGGATTACCGACCATGTTTCCCCGTGATTTTTATTTTATTTCATTTTATTTTTCTTTTTTGCATTTGGGGAACGTGTTTGATCATCACCTCAGAAAGTGGTTAATTTGACGAAAAGGAAAGAGATGCTGAGCATCGAGGAAATCACAAAGCTTAGTCAAAAAGCAAGGGACACGCGCGCTGCTCCTCTAGACAAAAGAAAAGCAAACGCAACATGAAAATGCAGAGAATCTTTTAGGCAGCTTTTTAGCAAGCAACGCCATTCATGAATTCCATTACCTCAAAGATTGTCCAAACAATTCATAATTGAACTTGCTGTTTCGTACCTCCTTACATGGTCTGTGTTCGATTTGGTTGCCAAAAAGGTTCAATCGAAACAAGCCGTTTTGCTTCGGGATGGATAGTACGTCACCAAAACTGCAGGTCATGATCATGAAGCCTGTGTTTCTGAAGGCCGGAGTGCCCCTAGTTCTATCCATGGCGGGTTTCATTTGTGCTAGGATCATGTGGAGAAGAAGCAGCAGCGCGCAATCTAAAGCTTCTTCGTCGCAAGACCAGGTGAATGTTAAAGACTCCGACAGTGAAGATGGTGGACATGATGAGCATGAGAGCTCTCGCAGCTTGAATTTCACGTGTACAGACTCGATAGAAGACGAAGAGCAATTCGTGGCGAATCCACGATCTTTGATAGGAAGCTCCTCCCGAGTTTGGGATCAATTGACTCGCAATTGCGAAGGAGAAGAGATCTTAGCCCTGAGAAGCACGGTTAGGGACCTTCAGGAGAGAGAGCTGAAGCTGGAGATGCAGTTTCTCCGGTACTCCAATTTGAAGGAGCGAGAATCAGTCTTGATGGATATGGGACACGCGTTGCAATTGGGGATGTCTCGGCTCGAGCTTTTGGACAGGGAGGTTTTGCACATGGAAGAAGAGAACGACCGGATGGCCAATATGGCCGCCGAGTATTTCAAGGTCATGGAGGAGCTTCACTATTGGAAGTCTCAGAATGGGAGGCTTCATAGGAAGGTGAAGAAGCTCCTTAGGAAAGTGAAACAGCAGTATAGGGTCTTGCGACAGAATGATCTGAGGATCGAAGAGAGAGAGGGGGAAATTTTGAAGATCCAGAGAGCTCTCGAATCGAAGACGAACGATGTCAAGAGAATGGAGGATGAGATTGATGGCCTAAGGGCCATGTTGGCTCGATCGGAGCGGGACAAAAATGAGCTTCTGATTGAACTGAGTTCAGCAAAAACTTCAGTTCCGCCGCTCTCCAAGGTTTGAACTCCTGGTTTTTCGTTTCTGAGGTTTCTCGACACAGTCTTAGTCATTGAGAATTCACGTGCATAATTAAGAAGATGATAACGACAATTAGAAACCCGTCAAACGAAGCGGAGTCATCTAACTGTTGAGAGGTTGGCGAGACTAGACGATCTGGAGAACAATTATTTAGTCATCTAACTGTTGCGACCTTGCTCATCTTCGTGTCCTCTTGTTCTACGAGTCAATTTGCCTAACAGGATTGGCTTTTTTGGACAGAGCAAAGCGGAAGCAACATCGACGGAAGATTGCAGTTGCCTGTTGAAGGAAATAGAGCACCTCCGGACGGACCGGGCGGCGGAAGAGAAGGAACTGATTCACCTGAGATGGAGCAACGCTTGCCTGAGGCATGAATTGACGAAGAACGACCATGTCCATGAGCAGAACATGGTGAAGGGCCATTCTTCTGAATTGGCCCTCACAGTTTCGACTGATATTGAAGACTGCAACTACGAGAATGGACTGAAAAGGTCGAATTCCGCAAACGGCGGGTACTCCTCTTACGCAGGAACTGGCAATCATGTCCACTCAAAAAAGGCAAAGATACTGCACAAGCTCAAGAAATGGGTGGAGGGGAATGACAAGACGAATGCGAAACAAGCCGAGAAAGCGAAGCAAGAGGTCGGATGCTTTGTGAGGCATTCAGTTTCGGATGATGTAGAGGAGGAGCACATGGCCGGGGCAAGAAGATCGTGTTCCGGCACATAAATATGGCTGCGACCGAAGCGAGCAGTGCCGATCATTAGTCGGTAACCCAATTTGCTAACACCAAACCATGATACTGATTGTATAAGCTCGTTCACCGGTGTTTCGCTTGAATCGTCTGGAACTTAATAGCTAATAACGGTCCGGTATTATCTCGCTGATCTCGCAGCACCTGCTCTGATCCATGTGTTGTTCATGAAAAAGTATTTAATTAATTAAATTGATTAATTGCATCATTAATGCACAATAACCCACTTTTTAGTCGTAATGATAATCCCTCCCACATCATTGCTGCACAAAGTCCACGTGTCTATATAAGATAAGTCATTTCCATTTTATGGTTCAAAAATCTGTGTGAAGTTGATGGCAAGGATGAGAACAATGATTCCCCACTTTTTCAAGAAAATTCCATGGGGTTGCTCTAGATTAGGTCTGCTTGTCCTCCTTATTGAAGTTCAAAGGTTTGAATCATCACACTTACATAATTTCTTGTGACCACTCCTAAGAGCACATCTTGTGTGTCTTTGGTAATTATCCGATGAGTATGAGATGGGAACTAACACTCTCCATGTAGACTAGTTAAGTGCTAAAAAAGTGTTAAGACAATCTTTTGATAGAAAGAACGTGATGATATTACCATCTACTACAAATATATAACGGTGGCTACTCATGGATGGTCCTGGTCATTATATAATCAAATTGACTAAATGTAAATTTTGGCTAATTCGAGTTTTAAAACTTTTGCAAACTACGTAAAGGCCCTATAGTTTTGCTGACGGTATTCTAGTCATGGGACGACCAAACCCTTTTGGTTTCCCAGAAAATTAAAAGGAAAATTACACATGTCACTACACTAGAGAGATAGTACGCATTTTCCCATTACCGCATAATAGTTACACTATATTTTTTTGAACTTTCTTGATGTTATATCTGTTAATTATTTATCCACTTATTTGTTAACAAGTCCAATTTGCGTAAATTTTTCAAGCGAAAAAATAACTTGTTTAAAAATTTAATTACGAAAGAAAAAATACAATAGAAACCTTGTAATATTCAAAAGCACAAGTTTGCCTTATGATCTTTGAAATAATATGCACCCTCTTGAACTTTCGGAAAATATGTTTTCTTCCATTATTTGAATGAAAAAATATATTAAGAAATCCAATCAGAGAGAGGGAGAGAATCCATCGCCATCTCCTGCATAGGGATTGCACCTGGTCGAGGTTAACCAGGTTCCTAACTTGCCATGTTAGAGAATTTTAGGTTTCTTGTCACGAGAGTGATTTGATATTCTAAAATTCTGGATCAATTATACTACTAAATAATTTCATCCACAATGTACCAAATTATCCAGATAAAATGTATATTATTCATTTATAAATAGATCTTTTTAAAGGAACTTTGTGATTTTCAATTCATCGATTCCTTCGTGTTACGTGTAATTACTGCATTGGAAAGCAAAAATGATCTCTATTAAAGCTCAGTTTGTTTCATAGAAAATGAATGATTAGGAGGATATTTTCTAAAAATAATCATTTATTTTCATTATCAACAACAATTTATATCTAAAAATTTCCATGACTGATGAATACATTTTTTAACTATCGAATTTAGGAAAGCATTTTCTAAATTATTCATTTTACACGAAAAAAACCCATCCTAAGATGGTTAAGGAATTTCGAGCAGACATGACTCTAAAATAAATTACTTATTCAAAATAGTCTCGCTACCCGTCATTACTCCTCCACTCCTTAGCCCCTATCCTCATTGCGCAACCATTACTTTGTTGCGCCTCTTTCTCTCTCTCTCTCTCATAGGAAAAGATTAACCCGGAATGAAAAATTGGCCATAGCACATGGTTGGGTTCTTCTCCAACCCAGCAAAAGAACCAGGTCAACTTGACCCGAAATCGGGTTGGGTCAAGATGGGTTAAAATACAGTTTTTCTTTAATCTCGAACCGTAGTAATAATTTTGATATATCTGGTCTTATTAGCTAATATATGTGTAATATCCTGAAAAGGGAAAATTACACAAAAAAAATCCTGAACAACTATCCCAAAATGCAGTCAAGTTTTTATCATTTTGCATTTAAGGCCTTTTGACGACTGCTCTGACATGACATACCGAAGATCTGATGTGATGTTTATATCTTTTAGCAAATGCGATACGAATGGGGCGCTCCATGAAATAATATAGCTAATATAAAAAATTAAAATTAAAATACAGAAAAATTAAAAAAAAAATGGGAAGAAACAAACCCCCGGCCCGCTCTCTCAACATCACGTCAGCATCTCTCATGCTAGAAAATATTAAAAAATATTATGCCGGGTGTTTGGTATATCACATCTGCAAAATTGTTTAGATGGTCGTAAAAAAGAACGTTTAAGATTTGATTGTATTTTGGGCAAAAATTTTAAAATTTTTAAAACAATTTTCCACCCTTAAAAATATATAATCAATGTAACGTCCTATATTGAGTGGGTAAATTAAAATAATTGAATAATGCTAGACAAACTAAGACTCATCTACCAAATTTGCTTGTAAGTGATGCCACAGATGTTTGTTGGATGATTTAATGGGCCTATTGGCTTGAATAATTACTTGCATATTGCTACATTAGATTTTTCTTTAATATAAACGTGTTCTTTAAAGCAATAAGATGTGAAAGTTTGTTTTTTTCAATATTGTTGTGTGTTATGTTTAACTGTAAGCAATACATTAAGAATCAATATACGGGTATGCTCAGTGAATAGTGAATACTCCACGACACTCCTTAACAAGAGCCATGAGAATTTGAAGAACATTTCTTCATTATCTAAAGTTCAAAAAAGGTTTGTAAAATTTGGGCCCAACGTGTACTATTTCGCAAATTGAAGGGATTTATGCAGTTTCTTACTTCCCTACTTATAATGTGATAAAAATCACATTTTCAATCTAAAGAGTCATGTGCATTACACGTGTTTATTATTGAGGTGCACCAGGAGAATACCAAGTGAAAGAGTCTCACATTGGAGAATGTGGTATGTGGCAATTATTATATCCTAGTTGTCCTATTATTCATTGATTTTAGTTCTTGAGTGAATAAATTGATCTGACTTCTTAATTAGAGGAGATATCTCCGTGCGATGAAGTTAGTTTATCTTTTCAGAAATTAATGAAAAAGAACGATGGAGGATTAACAACCATACTATAAAGAAAGTTCAGTTGGTGTTGTATAATGATTGGAGTTTATGACAAAGCATGGGCGCCCTTCCAAAACTTCTTGACAAGTGTCCTAATTTATTCAGAATAAAGTACCATTTTCATTTCCAACGCACACAGTATACATAAAATCATAGAGACAATGCATTGAAACGATAAATTTTTTTTATTTAGGTTTATAACGAGTGCCTCCAAGATATTTAATAACAAAATCCTCGGTGGAAAACCAAATATGATTTTGAGTTTTTCACCATTACCTAGGAACAAAACACATGAGACTTTTTTTTTTCTCCCTTTCAAGTTGAGGAACGAGGGGGGGCCCCAGGAAGAGAAACTTATCCAAGGCGTTCTCCGATTTCGGGCTTTGCCAAAATGTGGACCAAATTCATTTACTATCCTCTCTCTCTTGCCTTCTCTCTCTAAAATCCATAATGTCGGAGGGAGATCAAAGCCGCTGCTCCTTTGGTTTCCTGCTTTAACTGTCACTGCAACACGAACTCTTCCATGGGACTCTCTGTTCTCCCTCCCCCTCAACCACACGCCTTCCAAATCCACCTTCACAGCCTCTTCTCCCCAGCATTCTCCCTAAGTACCCTCTCTCTCTCTCTCTCTCTCTCTCTCTCTCTCTCTCTCTCTCTCTCTATGAATTCAGCTGATTGTTTCTTTGATCTTGTAAATCCTCAGGCAGCAAACAAATCAGGAAGGCATCGACCGTCACTCTTTGCCGATGCTCATCATCTTCCTCCAGTGATTCTGCGAAAGCAGAGCTCACGCCGTTGCCGTTGCGCTCGGACGGAAGAAGAGCACTCCTGGCTTGTCTCCTAGTGTCAGGTTAGTTTATGTCGTCATCAGAGACGGGTGGCATTTCAAGCTCTTATGCAGCTCAGCTTCATGTGGATTGACATTGATTTGAGGATTTTCTTTTTAGATTTTTTCTTCAAATGGGTTCATTAAATGCCAGTTTCAATCATCGGAGATTGGAAACGTAATGCAAACATCTATGTGGCATGCCCATAAAATGCGGACTTCTTTTGCTGATTGTGGAAAGGATCGATGTTTGCTGTGCTATCATGGAGTAAACTGCTCGTATGAATGAAATAGGATGTTTAACTGCCGTATGTAATGTCTTCAAAAGAAGAAAAAGAGAAACTTGACCAGAGCACAAAACTGTTCCTTCTGTGTTTTTAAGTTGAAGTCCTCTGATGAGTAATTTGGAGTCGTAAACATTGTTTTTCCATTCTTTTTACTCCCCCTAAGGGTCGAGTTTTACACGCTGTAAACTATATAAGAGTGGGAATTCGTGGATTCATCTATCTGACAAGTTTTTTCTATTAGAACCTACCTAAATCTATTCATCAGGGTCCTGTCATCCCTGACAGCTCTCTCAAGATTTGTCTTTGTCCTAATGAGTTGTGTATATCAGCTGCTGGCGCGTGCATATCTGATGCAGCTCATGCTGTTAGCACGAGTAGAAGAGCAGTAAGTTTTATCGCCCTTACTTCATGCCTTGTTTAGAGTTGTTGTTTACATGAGCAATGATGCACTTTTGGTGGTGCTGCAGCTCCGAGGAGCCAAAGTACCAGAGAGTGATTTCAAATCCCTCCCCAATGGTCTGAAGTTAGTCACCTGAATCTCTTTTCTTCTACATTTTTTTTCGTTTATATTTTCCATGGAGCAAGTTTCTAGTCAAGACTCTTTAGTGGTGCTTTGTTTTCTACACTTTGAGAGCTCATTCTCCTGTTTATATTCAATCTATTTTCAACTATTTGAGGGCCGATGTCAATCAATTGACGCTAGATTGCATAGTTCATTCAAACGATGGCTTAGTAAGGAAAGTGAATGATCCAGACTTATGCAGAATTTAAAAGAGAATATTTTGGAATAAATTTGCAGAAACTTCAGAGCATCAAATGTCACAGAGTATCATTGCTCTCAAATTGTCACGATATTCTATTTTTGAGCGCAATTTAGGCTTTTATGTCTGAAAAAGTTATTTGGAGGTGTAATTTTAATGCGAGAGGACTCATGAATGGTAACTTTGAAAATGTTCTGCTCCAGGTATTATGATATAAAAGTAGGAGGTGGAACTGAGGCTGTGAAGGGATCAAGGGTTGCAGTACGGTTGTAATTCATGTTGAATTTCATGTTTTCTGATAGACTTCAGCCCTCTTTACTTCTACTTAAATGATAGCACAATATCATGCATCTGATTGCACCTTATGTGCTATTTATGCATCAGATAATCTTTTTGTATCTTGCTCTACGAGACTTACATTGTGCAGTCATTAATTTATGAAAGGTCATGTATGTGGAAGTATGGTGAGGAGAAAGGCTCTTATTATATGAGAAAGTGGTTATCTGGAATTTTTTAAACTTATAAATGACCAGTGACATGAAATCCATCCTGAGATAGTTCAGCATTCACTCCCCTTAGGATGGAGTGGTGATGTCTCATTAATGCATAATGATACAACTGATGCAGTCTGTAATGTGCTCCAGTGTATTATGGCTTACAATGTTACCAGATAAACAATATCGAAGTAACTTCTTGAAAGCCTTTAAATATTCACTCTCTGCACAAAAAACTTGGCATTTTGCCGGGAATGATAGTGCAGTATGAAGGTTATAGCAAAATTGTTAAGCTGGAAAAAAAAGTACAGGGGTCCCATTATGTATATGAAACAGTTAGACATTCTGATAATTAAAGCTATCAACCTATTCGTGGTCTGTAATAACTATGAAGAAGGCAATGTGTGATGCTGCATTAATCCATTTATGTTGATGTAGAAAAATATGCTTTCTTCAATTACGTTTCTGATTAATCAAATAATGAATTACTTTGTAGTACTTATGACTTTTAACCTTCATCAGGTCCACTATGTTGCTAAATGGAAGGGCATTACTTTTATGACTAGCAGACAGGGGCTCGGTGTGGGTGGAGGCACGGTAAGAGTGTTTAGTCATTCCTAATTTGAAGCTATTTACTAAGTTCAGCTCATTTGCGTTCGACTAAATCATATAGGAATCTGTGGTTAATGCATGATTGGATCCTAATTGAGCTAATTCACTGTGTTTTAAGCTTACTTCATCACGATTGTTTAGTCATTACCATGTTATGATCAAACCAATATGTGGCGTCCAGATCTGATTTTATTGTTTGTCAGCAGAAAAAAATTGGGAGGATCATCTTTACTTCTTGGAACTGCAAAAATTGAACTATCTCCTTTTCTTTTTTGGTAAACAAGTTTAGCATGTGATAGCCAATCCTCTGGTCATTTCACAACTAGTACAACTCCGTTAATACATTTAGAGTTTATGGCTTCACGTTTTAAGAGTTCAAGTTTGAGAATTATCGACATTGGAGGCATACTCTTTAATACTTAACTTTGTCTTCCTTTAATTGGGGTGCAAGTGCAATATAATGGTACTCTTTTCTACACTTTCAAAACCTTTGATCAGTTTACTATACTCTCAAATTGGTTTCAATCTGGTTTAGTCCAACGGATATCTGTAGAATAAGTTATAGGAAGTTGACTCAACACATGATGGGGACTGATGTGGAAGGGTTCATTATCCGCATACCACAAATCATGCAACATCGACAATTCATTACTTTGCAATTGGAGAGTTGACAAAGTGGCTTGCTACAAGTTATTCCAAAAGCATGGTGAACAAGCTCATTTAACTGATTGAAAATAGCATCAGAATGAATCACCAAGAAGGTAGTTCATCCTAAGCTCCTGTTAACAAGTTCACATCAACGTAGCAAGTAACATTGTGTTTTAAGATGCTGCCATGAACCTCTATTCTAAGGATTCATACACAACGACTTGATTTGTTGAATTAGATCTGAATGTTTAGTTCCATCTTTGTGACGTGAATTTTGTGTTTCCAGTTTGTATAGTTCTTATGGCATTTCATCCTATGACCTTAGCTTGGTTGATACTAACATTTCTTAATTGCTGCAGCCATATGGATTTGATGTTGGCCAATCAGAGAGGGGCACAGTCCTTAAGGGTTTGGACTTGGGGGTTCAAGGCATGCGAGTGGGCGGCCAGGTACTATATTTTATATTGTAGCATGATATAACTTCGTCAACTTTGACCAACTCAGAACATTACCTTTTTATTATTTCAAAATGCATATATTCTTTTGTCTGCTTTGGGAAACGATTCTTGAGCTGCTCTGTCTACAATTCCTATAAGGAACCAACTAAGGAGGTATTGCCTAAGCAAGCGGTTCATGTATTAACTGACAGAAGAGCTGCTATATCACTTCTGCATAAGTATATTAGTGAAGTGCAATAGCGAGGATTAGAGTACATGATATGATATGCAGATCCTATGGAGTAAATGGCGGTAGATAGGTTTCAGTAGTGCATAAGTGGATGATCCACGGAGTGTCAACAAGACTTTCCTCCACTTGCCTCTCTTGTTAATATATTCTCTTTTACTTTTGTGTGCATCCAATTTGAATCCTGGCTGTTCTTCTTGAAATCAGAGATTACTAATAGTTCCGCCTGAGTTAGCCTATGGAAGCAAAGGGGTTCAGGAGATCCCGCCAAATGCAACAATAGAGGTAACGCACTTCCTTTCTGGCCTTCTCTGCACTTTGATTTATGATGGTCATTGTCTCATCCAGTGAAGTTCTTCTATGTTCGTAAGCAGCATATTGTACTTATTGACAAGTTCTTTCCACACTCAGAAGGAGGTTACAGTAACTTCTGGTAAACTAGTAAAATGATAAGTAATGTGCGCATTTGTTCAAAATATTTTTAGATGGGAGGACCACAAAATATTAACCCATCTGATGCAATCTAACAGAACCAATCTATAGCTAGAAAGAAGAAATTGGCGTCCTGCAGTTCCACCACTATTTTCTTTATTACTAGAAGAATTCCCAAGGGTTCGTTGTATATGAGACTTCTCCTATTCTTGTTATCCTGCTGAAGTCATACCACTGGAAGAAGGACAACAAAACAATCTCGTCATCTATATGACTATGACTCTTCTGTAGCCCTTTGCATAGCGCTCTCCCCGCTTGATTCGCATGAGATGTAGCTCACATGGAAAGCTGTAAAAGTTCCCATGCTCTAGCTATTGTTTCTAGTTATTGTCTGCAGATAGAACAAGTTGGATCCTTGGAAGGTTACATTTCTCACTGGAAGAAGCTTTAGGAGAGATCTAAGGTTGGGTCTGTCACATTAACAAAAACAAAAAAAAAATGTCTCAACACTGGTCTTTGGAGTGCTGATATACCATGAACATTGGCCATCTGATGAACTTCACTGCTGTTGACAATTTTATCCCTGAAGTTCATTAGGTGGCACAGCCTTGATGCTCCACATGAGTACTCCATAATTAAAGAAGGAGCATCGTCAGTCCTCCTAAACGTGAAGTGTTTTGACTCTGCTGCCTCAATTCTCAAACAAAAATAGCATCTTTTTGTGCGTAACAAACTTATGACATCCTTCGCATATGGCTACCTTCGCATGATTTTTTGTAGCCAACCTCACATATTTATTTACTCTACTGCCTCCTTCGGTGTCTTCTTGACTTTCGCATCCCCTGTTGTGGAATTGGCAGTTGGATGTTGAACTCCTAGCCATCAAGCAAAGTCCCTTCGGGTAAGACGTACACATTGAGGAGAAATAAAAGTAGCGTATTGACTTTCATATGTTTTCAAACAGTGGGTGAAAATGATTGTTTGTTCTGCAGATCTCCTGTCAAAATCGTCGAAGGTTAGATCCTGTATCTTCCCAATTGCTTATCATGCGGCGTTTCTGAGCGAGATGAATACAAGAAGCTCGAAGCTTTTGCAAAAACTGAATTATATGGAGCCCGAGTGCCGCAGACGATATTGTGTGTATGACTAGAGATGCACGAGTCTGCTATCCTGCAAGTTGCTCAATTTATTTTGATTAGCCCTACACTTATTGCGTAAGAAAGTGTCTTTTGTAGATGTCTGCTGAGTGCATTAATCAATTATTGTTGTTATTTACCTGATATTTGTATGATTCTCTCCCATACGGTATGTTGAAGACAACGAACAATGATGCCAATTTCTGTCCAAAAGCTTCGAAGGGCTGGTAAAAAAAAAGGGGAAAATGACGCAAATGGTCCTCGAATTTTGGTTCAATATGCAATGTGATTCTTAAATTATTAATTTGTTTAATATAATCTTTGAACTATCGGTAAATGGTCAATCTAATCCACAGATTATATGCTAATATGGCTTCCGATTTGTTAAGTTTGAATTGAGGACAAAAAAAAAAGTTACACTTGGATTACCTAGGAGATTCATTTCAATTCAGGATATAATAATCATGTTATCAAATAATGATGGACGAGTTAACGGCCTAATTTTTTTTCCCTTGTCTAAAGTAAATGGACATGTTTGACTCATCTTTTTTAAAAATCAAACTCGGCATATGATAATCACGTCATCAAAATAATGGCTGGTTTGTCATTTGAGCAAATATAAGGACGGCATTGAACATTTACTAATAGTTCAGGAAACACATTGAATAAATTAAAAGTCCAATGATGACGTTGTATATTTGATCAAAGTTCAGAGACTATTTGTATCATTTACCCTAAAAAATAGCCAAATCCCTCCACCCCCAAAAAAAAAACCTGAATTTTGGCTTGTTAGATATCTGATTTTTTAAATGCCCGAAAAAAGCCTTAAATATTTTGTCAAGAGGCAAAAATGCCTACTATTAAATTTTCCATTTAAGTAAACTGATATGGCATATGACGTGATCAACAGTGATGTTTTAGGGAAATAGATTAGCAGGGAAAAGATTTGCAGTGATATCCTAAGACATGCATGGAACATATTAGGCCTAACCAAGAGGAATAAAAAATGACTGTGTTTCGGAGAAGGGAAAATGACACAAACAATCCCTGAACTTTGGTCAAATGTGCAATTTGGTCTCTGAACTTTTAATTTGTTCAATGTAGTCCCTGAACTTTAACATAATATTCAATTTGATCCCTAAACTTTTAATTTGTTCAATGTGGTCCCTAAACTTTTAATACATGTTCAATTTAGTTCCTCAACTATATGAAAATGTTCAATGTAGTCCTTCCATTAATTCAAGTTCATGGACTACATTGAACATTTTTTACATAGTTTAGGGACTAAATTGAACATGTACCAAAAGTTTAGAAATCACGTTGAACAAATTAAAAATTCAGGGACCACATTGAACATTATACTAAGGTTTAAGAATTAAATTGAACAAATTAAAAGTTTAAGGATCAAATTGCATATTGGATCAAAGTTCAAGAACTGTTTGTGTCATTATCCCATCGGAGAACAGTGTTATTTGGCTTTTGTTGACGTATCTGCGGCATCTTTTGGCTCAAGCGGACGTGTTTTGCTGTACAAATTAGCACCTTTAGCTACGTCATTTGCCTGGAAAACTTAACGTTGGGTGTTTTTGTCTATCAAGTAAACGTTCACGAGTTTTTTGGGATAGTTTAAAAAGTCAGGATATTTTTGCCCCCAAGTTCGTGGGTTCTTTTGGGATGCGACTGCAAAAAAAAGGCGGCACATTACTTTTGGCAAAATCCAATAAGCATCTCAAGGGGGGAAAGATGGACTTGTGAGGAAGGCTTTAGTGTTTCATTATGCATGTGGAATCACCTTTCCTATAACTTTTCTTCCAGATCCTAGATGTAGGAAGCATATACATAGAGGCACCGTCTTTTCACAGATATTATAGAGTTAAGTAGCAGAATGAATGGAAGAAGATGGTCTTCAGCCCTTTTTTTTCAAGTGATTACAGACTGAATTCTCTCATCACATTAGTAGCAACACAGATATACAAATTGTCTTATCAACCCAAGGTTTTGTCTACTGCACTTTTTTGTCACCTTAATTGTTTGCTGAGTAGGCTGGTCTGGTCTGGCAATTCTCTCCATGAAGTTTGAGAAACATTTCTCTGTGCATGTCTATAGAGAAGAAAATGTTCATAACATCACAATTATAGATAGTGTAGTGCCACTTAAAACGTGAATGATAACCATTTTGTTTGCTTGTTGTTCTATTTTTCTGTTTTCGGGAAAAGGTTTGGTATGGAAATTCATTTGACAACGCAATTTCATTTTTTACTTTCGGGACATATTTTCAGTGCAGAAATAGGTTGGAACTTAAATGAAAAGTAGAAATTTTTTACTTGTCTATTTTTGGAATAGAAACAGAAATAAGGTTGCGCATGACAACTTGCCAAACAGTGTTTGATTCTGTTCTTTTGTTCCCAGAATCAGTTTGGGAACAGAAATGCGTTTGTTTAATTTTTTGATTCTGGGCACAATTTTGTCAAAAATTGTTCCCAGAATCAGTTTTGGAGCAGAATCAAGAATAAAAAAAAAAGTAGCTTCTTGATTTTGGGAACAATTTTGAGAATCAATTTTTTTTTCTTCTTCCTTTTTTTTGGTTTTTAATTTAGCTTCTAATGTCCGGCCCGACCGCCCTCGCCGGATCTGACGAGAATAAAATATTTTTAAAAAATATATTATTAATAAAAAAATATTTTACCGGCCATGGCCGGTGACCAGGTCATGGCCATAAAAAAATATATATATTTTTAATAAAAATATTTTAATAAAAAATATTATTAATAAAAAAAATATTTTACCTGCCATGGCCGGTGACCAGGCCATGGCAAAAAAAGAAAAATATATATATTTTTAATAAAAATATTTTAATACAAAATATTATTAATAAAAAAAAATATTTTACCGGCCATGCCCAAAAAAAATAATAATGTATATTTTTAATAAAAAAAATTATTAATAAAAAAAATATTTTACAGGCCATGGCCGGCGATCAGGTCATGGCCAAAAAAAAAGAAAAAAATATATTTTTAATAAAAATATTTTACCAGCCGGCCGGCCATGGCAAAAAAAAATTAAAATATATATTTTTAATAAAAATATTATTAATAAAAAATATTATTAATAAAAAAAATATTTTACCGGCCATGGTCGGCAACCAGGCCATGGCCAAAAAAATAAAAATATATATTTTTAATAAAAATATTTTAATAAAAAATATTATTAATAAAAAAAATATTTTACCGGTCATGGTCGGCGACCAGGCCATGGCCAAAAAAAAGAAAAAATACTTTTAATAAAAATATTATTAATAAAAAAAATATTTTACCGGTCATGGCCGGCGAGCAGGCTATGACCAAGAAGGAGGAAAAGAAAAAAAAGAAAGAAATATTAAAATATTTAAAAATATTATTAATAAAAAGAAATTTTGTGACATTACCAAACGCATTTCTGTTCTTTTTCTATTCCAGGGATGGAATTTTGGGCTGTTAACAAACGCCTTAAAATGCTCAGAATCAATTCCGGGCACAGAATCAAAAAGAATCATTTCTGAGCAGAATCTGTTTCCGGGCACAAAATCGTTGTCATGCGCAGCCTAACAACTCTCTTATTGCTCGCCCTCATCGCCCGTCACCACCCCCCACCGTGCCAACCGCCGGCTACCTCCCGTCAGCCGTCTGCCGCCGCCCGCCAGGAATAGAAATTTAATAATAACCTATTAAACGAATTTTTATTATAGTAACAGGAAATTTGTGTTGTAATCAAACGCTATTTTTTGTTCGAAAACTCGTTTAGGGAATATCTAATTCTAACCAAAAAAATAGGACCGGGGAAAAGAATGATTGTCATTCACGCCCAAGCCATTGACTTATCCCCCGTGAATATAAATTAGTCCCTCGATAGAACGAGTGAAGAAAAAGCATGAATCCCCATTAAGCAGGAACAAAACCATTTCTGGGAAAATCTTTTCCTTCCAGAGGAGTACACTTCTTGAACATCACTTCCCCAGATTGTGACAGGAATCAGATTTCCCCTAGAAAGATAAAACTTTCAGTGACCCTAGATTCCTGTACCCACTTTAGAATTTTTAAATTTTTACCCCCACTTTATTCACATTCTAAACTCTTTATCTACCCAAGCCTCTTCCTTTGTCATGTCATAGTATTGCAATTTTCGTAACTTCTCCTTTGCATGCAACAATGACCATGCCAAAGCCAAGAAGGCCTGGTCATAAACTAAGCCTCCTTTGTGGATTTTTGACTGTTCATCTTTGCTGCATCCATCAGTGTTCCACACAAAAGACATGCCCAGACTGCGGCTCCATGAGTATCCCCTACCCTCTCAGTACCGATCCCACCTGTGGTGATCCGGATTACTCGCTCCGTTGCGATCCTGGGTCTCAAAAACTGTACTTCAACGCACTCAACGGCAGCTCCTATCTGGTGAACCGGATCATAGCTTCCTCTCAGCGGATGGTCGTGCAACCATCGCCCTGGATTGGCAACTCGTGCGTTACTCGTGACGCGCTAGTTAGCGAAGGCCTCTGGTTGAATCAATCTCTCCCCTTCAACATAACTTCGTCGAATACGATCTTTTTGTTCGACTGCTCACCTCGGCTCCTTGTCTCTCCTCTCAACTGCACTTCCTCGAGCCTCTGCCACCGTTACCTGGAGAGCTCGGGACATATTGACAAAGCTCGAGCGGCTCAGTGTGCCGGCAGTCTGGACCCATGTTGCACCTTCGTTGCTGGCGGCATGCCTTCTGCTTACAAGATCCGGCTCCACAGTTCGGGTTGTCAAGCGTTCAGGAGCATCCTTTATTTGGACCCGCATAAACCGCCCAATCAATGGGAAGAGGGTCTCGAAGTACAGTGGGCCCCTCCACCTGAACCTCTCTGTAGATCGCAGCTAGATTGCTCTCGAAACTCCAAGTGCTCAAGAGTTGCACCAGATGGTCCCCTACGCTGCCTCTGCAATAAAGGTTACTTTCGTGACCGCACTCTAGGGACTTGCTCGAGGACGAAGAAACATGCTTATTCGACCCTCAGTATAAAGATATCAACCAGTGTAATTTCTTTTCTTTGCCTAACCACAGTAGCAGCTACTATCACCCTAAGAAAGTCCTACAGGCTATCTAATAGGGCGAAACTGGCCAAGGCGAGAGAAGATATGTTGAAGTCGAGCACTTGTGGGAAATCTGCTAGGATGTTCAGCTTGAAGGAGGTGAAGAAAGCAACTAGCAATTTCTCCAAAGACCGGCTCTTGGGAAGTGGCGGATTTGGAGAGGTCTACAGAGGCGAGCTTCCGGATGGGACTATCGTGGCCATCAAGTCAGCTAAAGTGGGGAATATCAAGAGCACACAACAGGTACTGAATGAAGTTGGGATACTATCTCAAGTCAATCACAAGAACCTAGTTAAGCCCCTCGGTTGTTGTATGGAAGCCGACGTGCCGTTGATGGTTTATGAGTACATCGCAAATGGGACGCTCCATGACCATTTGCACAAAAAGAGGTCGACATATTTAGACTGGATGACGAGGCTTAAAATTGCTCTGCAGACTGCAGAGGCACTAGCTTATCTCCATTCCGCAGCGTACACGCCCATTTACCACAGAGACGTCAAATCCACAAATATCTTATTGGACGACGACTTCAATGTGAAAGTTGCAGATTTTGGGCTCTCGAGGCTTGCCCAGCCAGGTCTTAGCCACGTTTCAACATGTGCTCAAGGAACATTAGGCTATTTGGACCCGGAATACTACCGCAACTACCAGCTGACTGACAAGAGCGATGTGTACAGCTTCGGTGTCGTGCTGCTCGAGCTTCTGACCTCGCAGAAGGCAATTGACTTCACTCGAAATGAGGACGATGTCAACTTGGCCATCTTTGTCAGACAACGAGCTAAAAACGGGGATCTGATGGGAGTTGTAGACAGGAAGCTGCTTATGACGGAACCTTCTACTGATATATTGAACAGTGTGAAGCTCTTCTCGGAGCTGGCATTCGCCTGTCTCGGGGAGAGAAAGGAGGACAGACCAAGCATGAAGGATGTTGTCAAAGAACTCGAGTGCATCATTCAACCCGTATGTCAAGCCGACTGGCAGAGTGTTCCGGAGTCGATGGGACCGCAATCATCGGATGGAACTTAGTTTCATGATCTTTTTTTGTCTGCCATGTCAATTGAATGACGTTACCTTTGAAAAATCACATCAGAAAAAGAGATGGAGCGTTGCTGATGTCGCGGAAACGACAATGCCAAGCGGTTTCGATAAGAAAGCGGTATGAGGAATATAGATTCGGTGGGTCAGGAGAGGAAAGAGGGAAAGTTAAGGGATCAGATGCTAAGCTTTGAGCAGAAAGTGTGATCCATGAAATGTGGACCTGTGGATCTTGTTTGAGATTGGTGGAATCTTTTGAGGGTCTTGTAACTTTGGCATTATAAAAGATGAGGCGAGAGATGGACTTTCAAGTATTTACTCTGCTTTCTTTTATGTTCTTTTCTTTTTTTGTTCTTATTTTCTTGTCTGTTCATACGATCCAAAGCTTTCTTGGTTCTGTTATTTGTTTTGGATCCAGCTAATACAAGGAGGCCAAGAACTAGGCATGCTTTGTTGTGTTTAATATATCATGATTCTTGCGATATGGTTCTGGAAAGGTGCTAGGGAGAGGCAACAAAGCAGGATCGCGGATCAGCGGTACGAATAAACTGAAAAATGAATGTGGAAACGCACTTTTAATAATGAAAGTAAATATGGCTAAATGCAGATACACTATGGTGGTCAAGGAATTAATATAACTCAATTGAAGAAGCCCTGAAGGGAAAAATATCCATGGAAACATAAAATTCCTCGTTTGGGCAGATGCATTTTAAGTGAAGGCTATATCCCTTAACAGTAACAAGTGGCATAACGGCCAATTAAAAGTGGGGTGCATTGCACATGTAATGCTAAACAAGACGAGAGTCAAAGTACATGAATAGTGATGATTGATCATTTATTACCACATCATCGCTGCCACGCAGTCATAACCATTTCGAAAATAGTCATTTATGTGATGTTAGTGCAATGTGACTCGAACCAGCACAATAAGTTAAACAGTAATATGATTCGCACAATTGTACTCGCGCATGCCATTCCTCTCCCAATTTTGGGGTGCTCCAACATCGAAACAAACATTTTTCTAAGCTCCTTTTGGGTTATTGCAGGAGCACAAAGGGGGCCATATCCAACACTGGCGAAAAAAGCAGATTGTCAGATATTGTTGCTTCACTTAGAACCAGACACATGCCGAAATGTTTCTTTCTTCCTACTGGTTGGAAGGAAGAAAAGTTTAACAAATCTCAATGTGTAAACTAAACAAAGATATCAAAATGGGATTAGTCAAAAGCAAAGGAGATTGATCCACGAATTCTTTTAGGAAGACTAATCATTGTCTCCACAGCTTTCCCGGGTGGAGATGAGCAATCATGCGCACCCCACAAGTTCAAGTTATGAGGGAAGCTTTTCCAAGTACTGCAATAAAGACAACCACATCAAATCAGTGAGAACCTCTTGTGACAATATCATTAAAAGAAAACGTAGCCCACCAAACACTTGAAAAATGAGGGGGCACAAAAAACTTATGTAATTGTAGACTGATTGGATTCTCCAATTAGCAAGCTAAACAGGCTCTAGTGATTTTTCCTTTTTAGGTTTGGGGGTCCAACATCTGACCCCTTTAGTCTAATGCCTAAAAATTCTATTTCTTTGGTCGTGGAAAACTTCTTCCTTGATCTCGGGTCCACTATTCGGGTCCATCATAAACCCAGTGAATCTCATGTGGGCCTAATATAGAGGACCCATAAAATGGACGGCTACGATGCATTTAGTCCAATGGAATCGGGTGCCCTTGCAATAAAATCACTTTGGTTTGAGTCAAAAATATCCCACGGCAAGCATGACCACTACTAGATCGATAGCTTAGGTCAAGATCAACATGCTCTTATGATTTAGGGGGTGGGCTTAATTAATTTATCTTCTCTCCTATGGGAAAAATCTAGTATTTTCACGATACATGTCGAGAAAAGAGGTTATATTAATCTTTTTACTTTTCAAGAACATATATGTCAATTACAAGTCGATTGTTAGGGGCAATCCTAATACAAATATAGTGTTCGAGAGAGTTGTGTGAGAAGAATTTGTGGTTGCGGAAATATAGTTGCCTTGGAATAAAATGAATTTCTTGGTATTGGCTTAGAGTTCAAGAACAGTATTGTGCGTGCGTGTGCAAACAAGTTGCTATATCCTAGCATCCATTTAAATGCTTATACGAAACCAGACTTGGAATTGTTTTTCAGTATTGTTCCTTGAATTTTGAGATTTCACATAATGCTTTATGTGATGTTGACTTTTTTTGGACTTCATACTAAACCAATCAATTCAATATCCATCGGTGACAATGTGTTAACCATGGAGCAAATATGAACTATTAACGTGTTCTTTTATCTTCGGCAAGCTAACTCATGCTTCTGTGTCCTCGATTAAAAATCAATCTAGTCGAACCCAGAGCTGACCAACGTGAGTGAACCAGTGTCCAAGCCTTGCTTAAGAGTTGCTCTCTTTTTTTTTATTATTCACTTTAAGCTTCTGGTAATAATTTCATATCCTTGACTATAAAGATAGATTCATAATACACCCAAAGCATAAAAGGCCAGACTTTAGAGCCACGGCCAAAGCCACAGCAAAGGCAAATCACCCAGAATAAGCTCTCACTTTAATCATCTTGAAAGAGTAATTAGAAGATCTTGGGACAGGCTCTTGATGAAAGAAGGATTTCAAGGTCAACATGTAGTTGCTTCGCGTAAATAGCCGGTTAGATAAAGGACAACTAACGGGCAGCTGCCTCGCATATCCCTAGGAAGCAAGTATCAATAACATTGTCCATTTGATGCAAGTAAACACAACCTGCATCAATTTCCAACCTGTAATTATAAAATACCTTGGTCAAGAAAACAAATAAAAAATACAACTACTCCAAGCTAGCAAGTAAAATAACTGTTCAGCGAGTATTACCAGACTGCTAAGTGAATATGCCATTATACAAAATTTGGTCTCCTTGCTTCCAAAATGGTCATCATACAATTAGTTTGAGCATTGAAGTTACAATCCACATCCGACTGGCAATTCCCAGTGTCAAAGAAGATTCAAAACAAGTAGTAGCTGTTCGCCTATGGTTTCCATAGAAAAAGAAAAAACTGTTTATCGACGGTAGCGGTAACGTTTGAAGTTGAAATAAACATGCAAAATCCCTCTTTCAAAAGTGCATTTGAAGCCCTTCTTGTGAGAATATTCCCACTCTTTATTCACAATCCTAAAAGCCTGCAGCACACCAGCAGCATGTGAATCATATGACAGCCAAAAGGTTTACAAATGCATAAAGGTGATTTTCTGATCAAGTAGACTCACAATGTCCTCATATGGGGGCCCGGCGTGGAACCGGATGATACACGTCTCTGAGCTATTCCCATCCTTTTCAATCGTGTATGTTGGGGCCTTAATTTTGTCGACAAGGTCAGGGTAGAAGATATTGAATTTATACCCTTGAACGATCTTCGGAGGTGGATTATCGTGATCGTAATGTGTTTGATTGTACTTATTCCACTCATATCCAGTGTGAACACGGTTGAAGTATTTTGGTTTTCTCGGTCGATACTTATCATGCCACCAATAAACCTGCATCCACATGGATAAATTCAAGGATCAGGTTATCTGAGAAAAATATGACACGAATAAGTCAAAAACAGTCAAGAAAATTGGAGACATGAAGCACCTGTGAGTCCAGATTCACCTCCGCACCAGTGCCAAAAACTGCATCACCTTCCTCCATGGCTCCCATGGCTTTGATGGCCTTCATTTCAAAATTATCTTCTGATGGAGCTGGCTTTGACGCCATTGCTTCTTGCATCCGTCTTTGTTGTTCTTCTAGCACCTCCATTCTTTTCCGTTCCTAAGAATATATACCGGAAACCTCTGGTTAGATACACACCCTTACTCACTTTGCACTAAGTATTCTGCAGGGAGCAAAGGAAGTTACCAATGCAGCCCTGTCCTCTTCAGGGTCAATGGCCCCTTCAGTTTCTTCACCATGCAGCAGTTGCGGAGAAAATGATCCAGCCTCCTCTTCTGACTCCATCATCTCTTCTTGAGGTAAGGGTTCTGGGGACATTGATCCTTCATCTAAACATCAAAACCATGGTAATGGTAACTTAGTACCCAGTCTGAACTGAAAGGTGAAACAAGAATTCTATAGAAAAGTTACTAGTAGACAGAAACATACCATCAGGCACATCTTCTTGTATAGGACTGAGGACATTAGCAGTTTCTGGATTATCATCGACATCCACAGGCTGCTCCAGACGTTGAAGATGCTTGCGCAACATTTTCGCATGAAATTCTTTCAAAAAAGCCTATGTTTCATTCAGTCAAAATCGATGCACCAAATATACATTATCAGCGGTGAAAGAATATCAAAATAAAAATACCTTTGCCTTGTATATGTGGATACGTTTGAGGATAACCTCCCAAAACTCCACGACCTTAGCTGTGCCAGAACGCAACTGAGTCTCAACACCAGCATGTATATCCTCCAATTCTCGGTAGGTCTTCTTATGCAGATAATCCCTCACATCTGCTTCGATGCTAGAATGCATACCCCTTTCTTCTGCAAGCAACTCAGCAGGAGGCTCCTCCCCACGCACTCTAGCTCGATCAAGTGCATCCTTTTTCCTAGCTTCTGCCAGCTCCCAATCGCAAACCACTAGAAGTGCCTGCTCAGTAACATAAAGAAATAAGAATCTGTAGACCCAGAAGGTCAACTTTTCATATGCTATAATGAATAATCCACCCTTTCAGACACTACTTTCAGATAACATCATTGCACTGCTCAAAGGTCAAACAACCATGTTAAGTGTCAATGATCTCATAGAGCTCATATAGCACTTCCATGCCTAGGATAGATACCAAAATCAAGGATGCTGAGAAGTGAGTCACATGATGACTATTAGACACTAAATGAAAGATCTCTAAACCATTCGCATGAAAATAAAAAAAAATGAAAAAGCATATTACCTTCCAGTACTCAACATGTGTCGGTGTCTCTGTATCCAAATCGAGATGCATTTTGATGTCACCACGAAGCTCTTCCATTTCTTTCGCTGTTAAGCCCTGATTCAAATGCAGTGGCAAGGACAGCTAAGCTACCATAATAATAAGCCTCTCCAAATTCAACTTATCAAAAATTTATTTTGAATACTTTATCAGGATAACAAACAACCAGATGAGTTCTCATTTTATACATTTCTTGGGAGATACCTACAGGAATATTTATACACCATAGTTTTAACAATAAATTCACTTCATGGTCAATTAAAGCACAGTCTGTATGGTCAACAATTTATGATCGACCTCCTATTGACCACTGAAGCCGAGTATCAAACTGCTAAATCAAATCCCAAAGTGAAAAAGATGCACTTGCACTTCCCTAGCAGCTTAATTGTCTGATCGAAATAAAATAAAATATTTAGAGCTTGTTTGAGGAGCTTTTATCCACACTTTTTCGTGGCTTAGGACTTTCAATCCAACAAGTTGTCTGGCACCAAAGCCAAAAAAAGAGAAGCTAGGCCCAGAAGCAGTCCCCTATTCCCCAGCTTTAGATGAGAGATTTGACTTCCAAGTGAATGTAAAATTACCCCATAAATTGCAAGATCGTCTTTTTTATTATTTCTTCCTTTTTCTTGTGTCTTTGGAAATGCAACAATTTCAAAAGTTTCAACTCCTAAATACTCAATCGAATAAAAGTCAAAATGAGGGAAAAGAGGAGGACAGGAAGGAGGACTTAAGGCCAAAATTCAATTTAGAAAGTAGCAGCAGCCCAGTCAAAGGCAGCTCAAACAAGCTCTTCTCTACTCAAATCCAAGTAACAACTAACATGATCTTCAAGAAAAGTGAAAGAATCTATCAATCCAATCTTCTATATAAAAGAGACGCTGGCCATTAGATGCTAATGAAGAAACTCTAGACAATGAAAGGAAAAAAAATTATGGTAAAAGATATTCAGTTACTATCAGAGGAACAGGTACATCTGTCAATTGTCAGAAAAACATGGACTGCAGGCACTACAGGTTAAAACATCATGGATAAAAAAGAGTATGCTGGATTATCCTTAAAGGAGAATCCATCCCGACATTTTCAGGTCAGCCACAGATGAAAGTATATTGTTGTTTTCCAAAAACATGTACAAACATAATTCAGTGGAGCTATTCATGTACATGGATGGTTCAAAAGTGGCAATAAAACAACTTTTTAATTAGATGTATAAGCTACTTGTGTGGGGCAAGGTACAAAAGAAGCATAGGAGGTGTTTAATGCTGAATGAAATTTTTCAGCCAACCCTTACTGAACTCCCTCTTTAAAAGATTTTTTATCTGAAACACTTTATCTCAAATAGATAATCTGAGTGACTTTCACCGTTTGGAGGCTCTTTAAGAGGGCATCTTAACAGGGACAGTATGCAGAATAGAGGTTACAGGCTGGCATATAGATGACTCTATATGAAAGAGCATGTGAATTAGTAAACAATGGATCAATTTATTGCTCTTTGTTGAGATGACAACTAAATCCGCGGCTGCAATTTTTTCGAATGCAGGAGGCATGAGCTTTTTAAGTCAGCAAGTAACTCAGAGCTTTGAAAGGCATTTGCTTTATCAATGACAAAAATGAGAGGAACCTCTTATGTCCTATACCTCCTCGAATTTCTAGACTGGTTTCGAGGGTGGGGAGTGTTCCATCCTTTAAGAGACAAGCAACTAGATGTATGGTGAATAGGTTAAAAGCTTTACAGAAGTTGAGTTTGTATTAACAAAACAGAGACTTTTCGTTTGATTATTAGCACACTCTCCTTTCATAAATTTACATAGAAGAGTACCTCTTCAATACCTTATATATGTAACAAATCATTTAGCTTTTCAAAGAAAATAAAATACAAGTAGGAAAGGCAAAGAAGCGCACGTCTGTCAGAATACGCAGTTTAATATTAGAATAAATTAAATTTTCACCTTGAAGACCATGTAAGGTTCATTCAATTCAATATCCAGATCATCTGAACCATTGAGGTGCTTTGATAGAACATCAATTGCTTTTGCACGCCCTTCACGCAATCTGATCTCTGACCTGACTTTGCTTTGATCAAAATGAAACTGCAAGAGAAAATGTGTGAAAGACTCACAATCTTGAGAAAAACGATTGTCAAAATGATGCCTCTGAAGACTAGATAGTGAGAGATGGAGAACTTGAAATACAGAATAACCAGTAGCCATACCTCCTCTTCTTTCTTCTCCCAATCTTGAAACTCTGCTCGAGCACGCTCTCTGGCTAGCATTGCCTGCAGACAGCAGAAATACAGAAATCATTTCTCTGTGCCAGTAAAACTTCTAGAGTTTCACGCCCATCACCAATTCAACAAGAGAAATCTTGCTTTGGTGACTTCACCAAACATACCATTTCCTCCTCATGCTGAGCCTTTTCAAGTGCTCTTTCTTCCCTTCTCTTCTTCACTTTCTCAATCTCTGCCTGAATAACAAGCAAGGGTGTAATTAGACACATTTACTTAAAGACTTATTGCTTTCTAGCATCTGAGATTTCACATTTATTTAATACAGCACTACCTATCCTTGAAAACCTATTTATAAATCAATATATAAAGTCACTTGCAATCATGCAAGTTTTTGTCAAATTTATCAAATCTAATCTAATTTTTTCCTATTCGCAGGAAAGTTAATAAGTAATTTTTTGCTTATAGAAAGTGGAAACAAACAGCCTAAATAAGTTGATCTCACTAAAGGGAAAGTATGAAGAAGTAAACTTGAATACAACCACCTACCACTGAATGCATAGGAATGTCGAGTGCAGGTATGAAAGAATAAATTATCCATGCACTATTGCTAAAGGCTCAAACAACATAATGAAAGATGCGTGACCTAAAGATCCAAATGTAATTCGATTGCCTCAGAGAAAAGGGGATGCTCGATGTAGGAAAGGACCCAAGATATTTCCAAAATTAATGTTGCCCAAAAGACATACATGATGGTTCAGTCATTTGTGTCTTTGGTCAAAAGTGCTTTACATAACAAATCCAAGAGCCTCAGCCCTAACCTAGTACCACTTGTTTATGGATAAACCAACTAGGTAAATGCAAAAGGAATTTCACGGTGCATTTTTTTTTTTTTTTTGTGGAGACATTGAATGGATAAAAATCGGGATGCAATCATCCCTAAATCAGATTTTAGAGGAATGCTGTTAAACCTAAATGATTAAATTGGATTACATGGGTTTAGTAACATAACTATGAAAAGAAAGAAAATGCCAACTAAGGTATAACTAAGAGCCATAAGTCTCACTAAAGTGGGTTTCTACTTCATAGCAACTAAGACATACAAAAAAATCGCTACACCGAGTAGTAAATTTAATAGCATAAGCAGAGAAGTTAAAGGGGCTCCATCTAAAAGGTCAAAAAACTTTGAGAGGACTGTTAGCCAACTATCTCCTAAAGGCATTTGAACACCAATTTTTTAAGAAAATAACAACTGAACTCTGCAATGGCAATGCATTTGACGCATGGTACAGGAAGTAGCAGATTCCTAAACAAGAAGACTAGCTCAACAAAGAAACCATAACAAAACCCTGATGAACCTGTAGCGCACAAACAAAAGTAGCAGATGGCCATTATGAAAGATCTAAAGGATCCCAAAAGATGGAAAAAAGGAGTAGGCAAGAAAATTATGTGATACATAGCATCATATGAGGAACAATACCTTTTTTCAAGAACTTGATGGAGCCAAAAATGCTTCAAATAGTCCACCCTGAACTTTTTGCCTTGCATATTTATGCACTCTATTTTGATTCCGTCTCAATTTATTATCCAGTTACAAATGCATTTCTGAGTTCCATTGCAAATACTAATTCATTACATTAACCACCAGCATCAAGTCCATATACAATCCACCATCTATTTTTATATGCTTTGTCAAATTATGATACTAAAGTTGAATAACAGAAAGATCATCTGTTTCTGCACCCAAATGATTCAGCATCTTAGCTAAATAAATTCACCAGAATCACCACATAAAAAATCTATAAGCCAAACATCAAGCACACGGATTGTGCAGAAAAGAAAGTATCAACAAGAAAAAAAGAAACCCCATTACGTGAAAAAATTTAAATTTTTTTAATACCATTCTTTCTTTCTGCCTCTTTTTCTCTGCTTTGATAGAGAACGTGTCAAGATCTGCACCCAGGGAGACATCACGCTCAATCTTCTTTTTCCATACAAACCTGCAATTTCCTTACCCTATATCAGATATCATAATGATCAAGAACAAAAAATTAAATGTTCATCTTCTTCACAAGAGTGCATTATCCACAAACAATTTTCAAAAGAAAAAAAGGTTCCACATTGCAGATAATCTTCTTGCCACATAGAGCATGGACACAACAATTCTGAAATGCTCTTGTTTAACCTGCATCTCCAAATATGGAAGGCAAGAAATACCAGCAAACAGCTTATTATTATAAATGGTAAATAGAAAAGTAATGACATTGGCAAAGGACAATTTCGTCTTGATACCATTAGCCAACATGTCAGCATGCAAAAAGTGATACCAGTAAGGGTCAAATGCATGTTATAAATCTCAAAGGAAACGTATGTAAGCTAGATATTTTAGGTAACTGGCAGCTAGACGGTGGAAAAAGGAGAAATAAAAATCTAGTTTAGCAAGCAGTAGGCTAGCTGATTTTTCCTTTTTCTAATTCAGTAGTAGGCCTGGTACTTGCTATGTGATTTGCACTCCAGCTTGTTTTGCTTCTTTAAGTGAAAGCTTGCAAGCTCCAAACTACACATGATGAAGGATCTTTGAGATAAGCTTATAACAGAAAAAGTGCAGAAGACTAAGAAAAAAAATACCTCAATAATTTTTCAACTCTACCACGAACTTCATAAACTTAAAGTTTCATCTTAGGTACGTATGAGTTCTACCCTGCCTCTAGTACTTAATTACCATGACCATTAAGCACCGATATGACAGCTGGATGGGCACTAACATGGCACTATTGTGGAGCTGACTCTTGAAACACAAGCTAGAAGAAGAGAGAGAGAGAAAGGTAAGATCTGCGTCCTTAACTGCTACCATAACTAGTGACTAACAGGATCCATCGGATTTGATAGCTGGAACTAGATCTTACAGAATTCAATTCTGTGACTATTTACCATTGATATGAAAGTGTCAGGTGGGATCCACCGCTTAACAACCATATAAGGTTTAAGTTGCCACTGTCCATTTTCCAACAATCCTAGCAGATCTAGCAGCAGCATTAGATCTAAAATAAAATTAAATGTGCTTTGATTAATTCTACGTTGAACTATATTAGATGTGCATAGTTAGCATCACATCATCACCAAGTCATCATGTCACCCCAATAGGATGCGTACTGACAGTACTAACTGTCAGGGTAAAATTAAAGTTTTCACAATTTCAGGTTACAGTTGAAGAAAGAAAAGATACAGAAGGCTAGTTTTCAGTCCATCCACAAGAAGAAAGCACCCATTTGATTGAAAATCCTCCTTCCAAATATTAACCAAATCAATGAAAAAGAACCCTTTTGTTCACTTGGTGATGTCATCAATTGCTTATATCTGATAGTCTCTTCATTAAGTGACCAGGGGCACATTAAAAAAATTGAATCTATCCTCACAGAAGAGTACCAATCAACAGTATAGACTGTGGTTAGTTTCAAACTCACATACAAATGGAAAATCACAATTTGGAAGTAATTGAGAAGACCTCTTTCCACATTATCTCATAGGAGCAATAACATAGAAAACACAAGCAACCAAGGAATACACATAATACTCTGTTTCCAGGGAAGACAGTACTTTCGAGTTGACATCCGAAAAAACTCTTTGAACTTTTTTCTCCACCTCGCAATGTACCAGTAGATAGCTCACATCTGTTGACATAGTTAAGCATGTCAGGCATCGCAGTCTTTTTCGTGACACTATTCTCAGCCTGGGCTTTCGGGACATATTAACTTGACCATGCCTCAACCTATTCCTCTTGTCCACAGAGCGAAAGTAATTCCTCAAACTAAATAAGATCAAAATTATGTTTTTCCCCATCTAAGATGGCCGAGAAATAAAGGATCATGCCGTTCATGAAAAGGGCAAATCAGCATTCACCTTCAGAAGCAGCAGCCACATTATTCCTGCCCAGCCCTTTCCAGTGTGATATAAAGATTGAAATCAAGAAAATGGAATTGGGACATGATTTTCTCTCGGACACAATTTAGGTACGCTAGAAAATCCTATATCTTGATTATAATAAAGCATTATCTCAGAGCTACTAAGCTCGAACCGACAATAACGATCTTCAAATCAGAATCGAAAACTCACTTCTCGTTGAGGTTTGAATCACCGAAAGGATTTGAAGCATTGGAATAACCAGCGACTGACTGTGACTTCAACTTCTTCGCAACACGCATCGCCTGAATAATTACACCAAGAAAAGGCTGATGATCAATTACAGAGCAAAACAACGAAAATCGAATCGACCAAAGACAAATACTGCTCGCAAAGCACGTACCTTGTTCTGAGCCCTCTTCGCTTTGTACGCCTCAATTTCTTCCTCTGTAATAACCCTCGAGCTGCGCTTCCCCTCGCTTCCGCTGCCACCGCTGCCATCTGAGTCGTCACGACGACTAGAGCTCCTGCGGCGGCTCCGGCGACTGCTCCTGCTGCTGCTGCTCCTCTCTCGGCGCTTGCCGGAGCTCCGCGACGGCGACGAGTGACCGCTTTCGGGCTCCGAGGGCTCCGAATCGTCGGATCTTGCCCTTCTTCTATTTCGATTCCGGTTCCTCTCCGCAGAAGAAGAAGATGCATCTTTCTTGCTTCTATCCGACCCCATCGCTACTTCCCGCGAACAGACCCGCAGTAGAGTTTTAGGGGTTCAGGCGTACGGCAGAGAGGCGAATAAGATTGGAAGTTGGAGATGGGAAGGCGACAGAAACGTAATTTTGGATCTCTAGCTACTTTCATTTTAGGGGAAATTCCGAATAACGTATGAATTGCCATCATTTTCTTAAATAAAAAATCTGAAGTGCCCTCATTTTTTTCGAATAAAGATATGAAGTAGCTATAATAATTTCAAATAAGGACCTAGCCTCATTGGTCGGCCAAATATTGCAGCCGGTCAAGATATTTTCGTCCAATAATAATTTTAACATAAATTTTAGTTAAATTAAATTAAAAATTTTAAAAAAAAATAGAAAATTCAAGCAGCCCTCCAGCCTTCACTGTGGTCGCTACCCCATTGCCAATGTGGCGGTGGCAATGGTGAGGTAGGGTCGCCCGCCTCAGCGAGCAAGGGTCGTCGCCCTCTCCTAATTCTAACAATGCTCTCGCCTCTAGTGGGCGAGGATCGTTAGCTCGGTGGTCGTTAGCCCTCTCTAAGGTGCCGGCGACCCCATCGGTGATAGGGCGGCGACCACAAGCCGAGTTTGAGTGTTTCGTTTTTTTAACTATAGCCTTTTTATCTTTTTTGAGTTTTTTTTTATGAAAAGAAAAAAACATAAAAGGAAAAAACAAAGAAAAAATATTTAAAAATAAATGACAAAAATGCCCTTGACCCCGGTGAGATTAGCCCTTTTTTGAGACTCAAAGTTCACTTCAAGCCCTTATTTAAGAAAACAATAGCATTTTAGACCTTTATTTGAAAACAAGGTCCACTTCATACACTTATTTGAGAAAATGAGGACACTTCATGCTCTTATTTAGAATTGTCCCCAAATATCACCAAAAAACTTTAAATTATATCCAAGGAGACACAAATATCCTAACCTTTTTTTATGTCATCAAAAACCCTAAAGTTGTTGATTATGATGCAAATACCCTTAACATTTTTTGGTGTCGCGAAGAAATTCAAATTAATACATGTATGACATATATACATTCTATTACAGTTCCATCTAGAGCATTTGTCACACTAATATAAATTCAGGATTTTTTATGATATAATTTTTTTTTTGGGTATTTATGTCACTATGTACACGTTTAGGAAATTTATGGTATTTGTGACATAAGTTAGGATATTTTGTGGGATTGACCCTGAATTATAAAATGCAAAAGGGAAAAGGATTCATTAGTGTCACAAGCGTCAACAAATTTTTCATTTTCGTTGCCTTGTCACTTTTGTCGTCCGTATATTATTATTTTTATATGGTTTTGTGAAAAATAAAATCAATTCAATTATTACACTAAAAGTGGAAAGGACCGGGGAATTGCAGAAAAAAAATATCATAATTACTTTGATATAGAAATAACACCAATATAATTTATCTTAACTTACACAAGTTGAAATTATTTTATATAGAGTTTTTTTTTTGGTAAGAAAATTATTTTATATAGAGTTAATATTATGGAAAACCCCAAAATGGTACGCCTGTAACAAATTTACCCCAAATTAATTTTTTAACAACTGAAAACCCCAAATTAATACACATGTAATAAATTTACCACACACTAATTTTTTTACTACCAAAAATCATAAACTGGTCAATTTGTAACAAATTTACCATTCGTTAAAACATATTAATAAAAAAAATCCAAACTAGTACACATGTGACAAAACGAAGGATAAGACCTCAAACGGGTATATCCGTTAACTAACACGTATTATTTAATTAAGCAATTTGACGGTAAAATTTTAACAGAAACTAACGAAAGATAAATTTGTCAAAAGTGTACCAGTTTAGGATTTTTTGTGGTCAAAAAATTAGTTTGGGATAAATTTATCACATGTGTATCAGTTTGAGATTTTTTATGATATTAACCATTTTATATAAATAAAATTAATAGAGCTTGTGGATCTATGAAAGATCGTGAAGTAAAGGATATAAGCCATTTAACTCCTATCCGAATGAGAGCAAAATGTTGTTCATCATGGAAAACCAATATAATTTGTCATAATTCCTTTGATATAGAAATAACACCAATATAATTTATCTTAACTTACACATGTTGAAATTATTTTATATAGAGTTAATATCATGGAAAACCCCAAAATGGTACACTTGTGACAAATTTACCCAAATTTTTTTTTTTTGGTAAACAAGGATCCGCCACCATTCCCCGGGGACGAGCCCGCACAGGTAATCGGGGCACTTATACCTCGGGGGAGACTAGCCCAGCAACCCACCGCCAGGGCCCCTCACTTAAATTACGGAACCGAGCGGTGATTCGAACCCATAACCTCTAAGGAGGGAAGGAAAGCGTCCACCAGCTCGGCCATGCGCACCAAAATTAATTTTTTAACTACTAAAAACCTCAAATTAGTACACATGTGATAAATTTACCACACACTAATTTTTTTACTATAAAAAATCATAAACTAGTACATTTGTAACAAATTTACCGTCCGTTAAAATAGATTAATAAAAAAAAATCCAAACTAGTACACATATAACAAACGGAGGATAAGACCTCAAACGGGTACATCCGTCAACTAACACGTGTCATTTAACTAAACAATTTGACAGTAAAATTTAACAGAAACTAACGAAAGATAAAATTGTCAAAGGTGTACTAGTTTAGGGTTTTTGTGGTAAAAAATTAGTTTGGGATAAATTTATCATATGTGTACCAGTTTGGCGTTTTTGATGATATTAATCATTTTATATAAATAAAATTAATAGAGCTTGTGAATCTATGAAAGATCGTGAAGTAAAGGATATAAGCCATGTAACTCCCATCCGAATGAGAGCAAAATGTTATTCATCATGCATCCAAGTCAATTATATATAAAATAAATTGCCGAAAGATTTTTCCATTTTCTTCCAAAAAGACACATATTCATAAAAAGCTAATAATAAGTGATCAATGGAATGGACTTATTGATTAAGAAATTTATTTTCTTTGGTAAAAACTACTAAACTCATTGGAGAGTTCGCGTCATTATCCTTCGATTACCATTTCTTTAATATGGATCAACTTTGACTTCATGTTAAGAAAAGATCGAGATATGAGAAAAGGAAGAGTGTAAGGCAAGGAGTTTGACAATTTTGTTTTGGGTTAATATCACGAAAAAACCCCAAATTAGTACACTCATAACAAATTTATCCAAAACTAATTTTTTGATAACAAAAAATCCCAAACTAGTACACCTGTGACAAATTTACCTAAAACTAATTTTTTAGCCACAAAAAATCCAAAATGGTACACCTGTGATAAATTTACCTAAAACTAATTTTTTAGCCACAAAAAACCCAAAAATGGTACACTTGTGACAAATTTATCCTAAACTAATTTTTTGACCATAAAAAATTCCAAATTGATACACATGTCACAAATTTACGAAAACTAATTTTTTTATCATAAAAAACCAAAAACTGGTAATTCTATGAGAAATTTACTCTCTGTTAGTGGACCAATTTGGGTTTTTCGTGGTATTTACCCTATGGATTTTCATGTGGACTTGCCACGCCACCATGTGTTATCGACGTCTGCAAATTTAACGGTAAAAATTGAAGAAAGCTAACGCATGATAAATTTGTCATAGATGCACCAAATTGGAGCTTTTGATGGTCAGAAAATTAATTTTGGATAAATTTATCACAGGTGTACCGATTTGGAATTTTTTATAGTCGAAAAATTAGTTTGGGTAAATTTGTCACATGTGTACCAGTTTGGCATTTTTCGTGGTAAAAAAATTAGTTTGGAGTAAATTTTTCATAAGTGTACAAGTTTTGGATTTTTTGTGGTATTAACCCTTCTGTTTTAGAACGAAGAAAGCTCTAAAAGGTTGTCTTCATTTTGAGAGGGAACTATAGGTCGGTGAATATGTTCGAATTTAATTTTTCCATATTGAAAAGAAAATAGTTCATGTGTTAATTTTAGGGTTAATACCACGAAAAACCCTAAACTGGTACACTTGTGATACATTTACCCCAAACTATTTTTTTGACCATAAAAAACCCAAAACTGGTACACCTGTGACAATTTTACCCTGAACTATTTTTTTGACCACCAAAAACCCCAAACTGGTACACCTGTGATAATTTTACCCTGAACTTACCACAAAAAACCCAAAACTGGTACATATGTGATAATTTTGCCATGAATTAAAATTTTAATATTATTTTTAATTTTTTTGAATTTTTATTTATTTTTTATTCTTTTCTTTTCTTTTCTTTTCATCTTTTCACCGGCTTCCGCCTCTGGCCTGTCGCCGGTCCGGCGACCGGCCAGAGGTTGAAGGTGAAGGAAAAAAAAAGAAAAGAAAAGAAAGGAAAAAAAAATTCAAAAAAATAAAAAAATAATATTAAAAATTAGTTCTGTAGGTAAATTATCACATGTGTACTAGTTTAGGTTTTTTGTGGTATGTTTGGGTAAAATTGTCACAGATGTACTAGCTTAGGGTTTTTATGGTCAAAAAATAGTTTGGGATAAATGTGTCACAAGTGTACCAGTTTAGGGTTTTTCGAAAATAGTTAACCCTTAATTTTACTTTGGGTTAATACCACAAAAAATCCAAACGATACACTTGTGACAAATATACTTAAACTAATTTTTTAACCACCAAAAACTCAAAACTTGTACATATGTGACAAATTTACCCTCCGTTAAATTGGATTAATACAATAAAAATCATAAACTGATAAATCTGTGACAAACTGAGAGGTAAAATCCTAACTGGTATACCCGTCAACTGTCACATGTCATCCTACTCGGCAATTTTGTAGTAAAATTTAACGGAAACTGACGGGAAGTAAATTTATCATAGATGTACCAGTTTGAGAATTTTCGTGGTATTAACACTTTTACTTTTAATCCATTTGCTCAACCTTCACCCTTTTTTGTATATTTTCTATTTTTGCTGGGTCCAGCCACTTTCTTTTCCCCTTGGTGGGCCCATCCGCCGCCCCTTTCGGAGAAAAGTCACTTGAGGATACGTAGACTTAGTCCGGATGT